CACCCTTATACGGCTTATTAAATTATATATATTTTTTTGCTGCATTTCATTAAAACTTTATTTCCTTTGAATTTCATTATAGATATATTTCTCATTCAATCAATTCATTTCTCACTTCACGACAAGGCAAAATACATACAAATTCAAAAAATCTTCATTAAAACTTGTAAAATACAGAAAAATATAAAACACCAAATAGAGTTAAAAACAGTTAAAGAAAAACGATTTTTGTGTTTAAAATTAGAGACTTCTACGCGCCGACAAACAATTCGGCCACCCGGCACGAAGACGAAATTTTTGGTGCACAAAATTGAAAGTTAACTTTTGTTTTCTACTGGGCAAAAAGACGCTGAAGTTGGAACACTAGCTGACTTAATTCACTACTCTACTAAGAGTTACAAAATAGCGGCCACTTTTAAATTGTTAATAATTCTATAACGTTTGCATGCAGATTAACTAAAGGCATAACAACCTTAACCAGAACATAAGAACAACGTAAATCAATCGCATTTAAAGCAAAAAATGCACAATTTACCAACATATAAAACTAAAAAAACTGCGCTCACAAAGCCAAGGAACAGAGTGGGAATATATATATTTATATACGTTCGTTAGGCCGAATGCAGCGAAAACGGTAGATGCAAAACTAGATGTTATAGCAGTCCCATATACAAAATTTCAACTTTCTACGGCTACTCGTTTTTGAGTTACGCAAGCTACATACGTACGTACGTATAAACGTCACGAAAAAATATCTTCTGAATCCATTTTAAGTTAATTTTACAATCCGTTTTCGAAAAAAAAAAACAAAAAAAACGTCCTTTATTCTGTCGGTAGGTACAGATCTCACGCAAAAATGTTTTTCAGATGGATTCGATAGCACTGAAAATAGATATTTTCGTTTAGATATGATACCCGGAATGTTTCGCGATTACAATACTTCTTTATTTTACACAAGAATGTTAAAAAAAAAAAAAAAAAAAAAAAAAAAAAAAAAAAAAAAAAAAAAGCATGTTGGATTCTGTAATGTTTTTAAATGGTATAAAAGCAGATTAATAAGATAAACCACATACTAAATACAAAAGCAAAAGTAGAAATTACATTTAACCAATAAAACACCTAACCGTTTGATTCCTTTCAGGAAATTTTATGAATATAATCTAAAGTGCAGGTCACAAGTGAAAAGTTAAAAGAATGTAGCAAAAATTGCTTAAAACCTGGAAAAATATAATTGCATTTCTAATCTTTACCGTCAGAACAGCCAAAGTTAGTAAAGTAATTAGAGAACTTTGATTAAATTTCTGTGGTGGACTGTGATCTTAATTTTTAATTTTATTGAAGATTTAACTAATTTTGTAATAATGATTTAGAATTATGCTTGCATAGATTTATTACATATTAGCTTTATTTTATACTTGCAATCTTCAAAGACGTATATGAATTCATTCGAAGCGTAACAAATGTATTCAACCTTCAAATGAGCTAGATTCTCTGAAAATGCGCGGAAAGGATAAGCCATCCATTCTGTTGAAATGGGCTATTAAAGAATGAAAGCTTTATCAATTGCCAATTTTAGTAATATTCTTGTAAACAAGCGATTAGGCACGAAAATCTTTCACCGCGGTGATCGTTTGCAATTCGCATTTGTTCCCCGGCGTCGAAAAGGTCACAAATTAATGAATTATGTAAATGAATTTCATTGATTGAGTTTCGCCTTTTCGCATTAGGGAATGGCAGCGTCATTACGGCAATGTTTTCATCCTTTTCCCCAACGGCTTGGTTCGGCAGAGCAGTGTTTTCGGTTTTTCAAGCGACTCTGCAACTCTGTCTCGTGCAGAGCGCCATCTACTGAGCCGAAATGGCACTTTTACCTTAGACCAGTTGATGTCTTTTGTCTGATGCAGCTTTTCATACAGGCGTTCTACGCTTTTGACGTTAAACTGAAAGACAATTATCTCTCTTCACCAGAACCCAATCCACCAGACTCCAGAGGGAAAATTAATTTCGATTATCCCTGCTGTATCATGTATACACTGCACAGAAAAAAGGGGCACGTTTCTACGAAATTTAATTTGCGTTTTTCATTCTCGAAAGCGCGATTTGGGATATATATTAGATTTATATACAGCATTGTTCTACCCTAGGTATATTGACACAAAATCGGACTTTTTCTGAAACGGCATGTGAATTTTTTCCACATTTCGGTTCTGCTATTAAGCCCAAATATTAAATTTTGTAAAATTTGGTGAGAAACTTACTGAGAAATTTTAAAATTTATCTTGGCGCACCTTTTTCAGATGCGCCAAGAATAATTCACCCAACGAAATTCCTAATTTATAGTAACCTCGTTCCTTTCCCTTTTTTCATTGAGCACGAGCGGAAAAAATGTTCATCGTTCATTCTTTCAAATAATTTTGACAACGTGCGTAAAACACATTTGGCATTTTTGCTGCTTATAATAAATATGCCCAATTTCAAAATTCCCCCATACGTAAATTGGCATACATTTTTCTATTTTTTCAGTCTCAGTTCATCATATAAATATTCAGTTTTCTTACTAAGGTGGCTTTACAAAACTTTTTTCTGTCTTTATTTTTAACATTTCGTGTGTTTACTTTATTTATTAAGTATGACGTTTTTGGCGCTTACGCCAACATAAAATTCGATTCAAAGACTGTCTCGCGTACTGGAGATAAAAAGGTTTTATTCCGTAGAGTATTACAACTGCTAGCTTTTAAATAGTTGAGTTTATTAAAAAGTCATTAAAGTTTTAAAAATATGAAGTATTAAATTCAAAATTCCGGATTCCTGGTGCTCGTGTTCGGGTGCAAGATTGCATTATTCAAAATTTGATGGCCGTAGGTGTTGTCGTTTTTCACAGTTCGACAAACATGTAAACATTCATGCAGATTCTTCATCATTTAATATCTTTAAAAGTAATACAGGGTGATAACATTTGGTGGCAACAATTTGGACAGTGGTTCAGATATTTAAAATGGTACGCCAAGAAATCCCGTTTCCACACTAATAGCCCATTCGGACTAACGCCTTTTTGGGCTAAAAATAATTAAACTTTGCTCTTTCATATTCATATTTAAATACTTAAATTCGCGGAAATGCATGTCTGTTGAAAGTGAGTCAGGAAATGAAATATGCCAACGTCATCGCATTTTTTTGTTATTTTTATAAATTATATGCCTATATTCATTAATTTTTATTTACCTCATTAATGGGCATATTGTTATTATGTAAAGTACCAAGTCACTCAGCTAGTATAGTGGTTAGGGACGTTGACTATCGAACGAATATTTCACAAGTGCACATCAGCGTAGCCACTGAACGAGGAGTTTCGAAAATGGACCAATGAGCTGTTATTGCTCTTGTGACGCTAAATATTCGCGCATGTGAGCGTATGTTGTTTACGTTTTAATTTGCATTTGTTTCGCAGTTATAAATATATGGCGTAATAGTAGAAAATCTCGTAGTGCTTTCTTTTTCAGAGTTTGATTAATCGCTGACATTTCACTTTCGCGATTACTCGCTTAATATTAATTATTATTAAGATTATTAATTAATATTAATATGATTTGATTAATCGCTTTAATATTAGGATTGATGTTCACGGTATATTATGTGGATTAAGAGAATTCAAGTGTATATTTTTTTAATTGAGCTGAGACTGACTGAAAGTGTTACAATGAATCTAGTGTTTTCTTATTTCAGTGCGTGCATTCTTTTGATTTTTAACGTGTAAGTTTCAGAACATATATGATCTGATTATATCCATTAACATTAAAAATTATATACGAATAAATTGAATATACTCGTTGTGAATACGACAAATTCACTCTGTCTGATGAGTATTTCTTGTGTAGACAGTACATTTAAGAGCGAGCATTTATTAAATGCGAAATTTAATGCACTAAATGTATACGAATGCAAATTAGTAAAGTTCATATTGAATAAAATTCTGCATTGGTTATTATTATAGAACATCTTTTTCATATAGACTGCAATAAAAAGTGCCGACTTCTATTTACATAAATAATTGGTGTAAATATTTTTCTCATACGCATAGTTTTATGTAAAGATTGCATTTGGGCTCAGATGTTTATCACATATTTCTTTCTTCATCTTATTTACCACTTCTCAAGTAATATTTCACATCGATATTTTTGCGAGTGTTTGTATTTATTTCAACCCGGTAGTGAAATCTCCATAATTTCCTATATTTGACCTAACTTCGCAATGAAAAGTTTCAGAAGCAATCGACGATGCTTTAATTATTTTGTACAGAAAATTGCGTGGCAGAATATTTTCAACCATCTTGCTTCAATCTTCAAGCACGCGAAAGGTCATGTGACATGACAGAAATATTACTAGATGCTCATTGGTCCATCCTAGAAGCCATTCCTCGGTGGTTACACAGATGTGCACTTGTGAAATATGTCTACCGTACCGATGGGCCTGGGCTGGAAATCTGGAAAAGGTATGAATGATTGTAAGCGTATAGTGTCTGTGCGGGAAGAGATTATTGAAAATACACGGGGAGTCGAAAGTCCTCTCGAGAGGTTGTAGGTAGGAGACCCTCGAATCGCATCCAGGATGGTTTATTTCAAAATTGGGGCGGAACTGCACATTTAGTGCAGCGGGAGTATAACAGTATGAGCAATGGTGATTAATTAATGATGTGCCGCCGACTTCTACCTGCAGAATACCACAAATTACCAATTTTTTAAATTATTAATGTTTAAAGACATAGCTTTTATTAAATTAATTGAACACTTAGTAATTTGAATGATATTTTTGAAGATCAGGACTTGTGACAAAATGTCTAAACTAAATACATAGCTTCATAATTTGTATATATAGACATCCAACTAAACTGCAGCTGCCACAAGCAGTTATTTTTGTAATGAGTTTCAATAAAATATTATGCTGATGCCAATTCTGGCAATTACTAATTTTGGTGTACATTTTATTTTCCCTTTATTTCTTAGATGATCAAACAAGAATCCGTCTTTCTTCAGATCTGGACATTCCTGGATCGGACTACATCAACGCCAATTTCGTCGAGGTATGTTCTTCGTTATATTAATATCGATATCCTTCGCACATCACACATGACATCCGCTCTGCGACGGTATACTTTACGCGAAATTTTGTCATGGATATCTAACTTACTTCCTGATGATAAGCTATTGAGTTCAAATTTTGTACACACACTGTTCGTCGATGGCAATGCAATACCGTAAATCAATTTTTTTTCCAAAACTCGATTGGGATTTTTTTTTAATTTATTTAATTAAAGGGTCTAGTCTTCTCAGGTAGCATACAATTAGACCAAAACTCTAAAAGACAACTGGTAAGTTTTCACTATGTCTTGTAAGTACCACAGAGACAAGGTGTAGAGACATTAGGTTATTTTGAAGCTGGAAGACGTGAAAAATGAGCGATCGCCGGGACTCAAACCACGGACCTCTCCAATACGCGCCGAGTGTGCTAACCACTACACCACGAAGGCATGCTAAAAAGCAGGGAGGAATACCTTATGTACTTCCCCTTTTAAAGGGCGAGTTGTGATTAGGAAACCCAAAAGCCAAATCCTGGTGGTGGAGAATCATCATCCCCCACCCTTTTCAGTTCGGGCGCCACTGTAGAGACATTAGGATTATTTTAAAGCAGGAGACTGGAAAAATGAGCCATGCTCTCGCCGGGACTCGAACCATGGACCTCTCGAACATGCGCTGAGCGTGCTGACCACTACACTAAGTAGGCATGCTAAGAAAGCGGGAAAAATACCTTATAAAGGAAAGGGTGTAAAGGACTGTTTATTTAACTTACAGTATAAGTAGCGCGCAAGTTGACTCGTAAACAAGTCAAAGGCAAGAATAACTTCGTAACTCCGAAGTCGGCATAAACAAGTCTAATGGCAAGAATAACTAAACGCCGCAGAATACTGATTGAAAAAATCAAAGTTAGCAACGTGGCCTTCAAGCAGACAGAACACGCTCTGATTTTATCCTCAAAATCTTCCTTTAAACGTTTCCTTCTTTCTACCTAATTTGAATATCGCGCCAGTTAGAAATTTGCATTCTGCCAGGGAAGTGGAAACGAGACTTATAGGAGAGAAATAAGTGAATATTGATAATAAATTTATTAAGAAATAAAATATGAATCTTATTATTGCAAAATACAAATGATATCACATTCAAATATAAGTAAATTATTTTTAAGTTCTTATGTTAGTGAGATGGAAACGTAATGATGTATTTCATTATAGAAAATTTTTAATTTATTATTTAATAATTATATTTTAAAATCGAAGCTAATTTTAATATTCATGAAAGACAATTATAGACAATAAAAAAGGAAAACACCTTGGTAGAGAAAAAAGTAAGTTTAGCATAACTTACTTCTGCAATGAAATTTACTTCTTACTGGTTACAAAAACGCACTTTAAACTAACTTTAATGTTTTTATTTATTTCTAAAAAATGGAAATAAAAGTAAATAAGGAATGGAAATCGCTATTACTGTCCCGTCCAAAGGTTTCCTTGTCTTCCTTTTCTTCATCAGATAATTCTTGAAAAATCCGAGCAAAATCAGCTGGCTGCACATATTTTTTTACCATGAAAACCGATATAAAATTTACAGACCTAAATGTATTCAAATTAAAATAATACACGGCAATTAGCAACACAAAATTACAAAATATTTGAGAAAAAAATATTTTCCAAATTTTTAAAACACGACCACGTGCGTGTCGTAACTTTTATGAAAACGCTGCCACGTAGTACAAAAGCCCAGTTAAAAAAAAAAGTCAAATGGCACATTCCATGATATGGGAAAGGCTAGAAAGAAGGAATAGAAATGACCTTCAGACGTCTCAGCTTCGATATGCGAAAATTGTGCATTAAAAACTGAATTTGTCGTAAATTTTGGGCATACGCGCGCTGTTGGAAGTTTTAAAGAAAAAATGCACAATTTACAAACATATAAGAATAAAGAAACTGAGCTCACTGAGCCGAGTAACAGAGTGGATATATATATACATATATTTATATACTTTTGGTGCGGCCGATTGCAACCAAAATACGAGGTGCACATCTACATGTTATAGCAGTCGTACATTCAAAATTTCAACGTCCTAAGACTACTCGTTTTGAGGTATGCGAGATACGTACTTAAATGAAATAATAGATCGCACAGACGCCACGACAAATTCTCTTCACAATTCATTTGAAATCAGTTTTATAATTTTTTCGGGGGAAAAGAATCCTTTATTCTGTCCTTACTTACGAATGTCACACAAAAGCATCATTCAATTGCATTGGATAGCGATCAAAATCGATATTATCGTTGAAATAAGACACCCGAAATTTTTCGCGATTACAATACTTCTTTTTACTTCGTACAAGGAAGTAAAAAAATCTGATGTGTACACCACATGACTTCCTTGTACGGAATATTAAATTATAAGCAATTTTTCTTGCATTTCATTTAAACTTATCGGATTGAATTAAATCTACTTCGCCGACAGCGCATAAACCACAATAGAATAAATGCAGTCTTTAAAATTCACTCTAGTCTTTGTTTACCATAGCGACACTCTGGCGCTAGATTCACTTAACAGTATTTATTTCGTTCATATTATAACTCAGAATGCACAAAATTTATATCATTTAAAGAATAGAATTATCTAATCGTTGCCACATGTTCTATTCAAATACTATAATAAAGCTAGAATGATGTATAAAAGAAATTAAGCAAACAAAACAAAAAAGAAACGGTTTTTCACAGACGATTGAGTATTTCTCATTCAATTAATTCAGTTCTTACTTCGCGAGAAGGCGAAAATACATAAAAACTCAAAATATCTGTATTAAAAATTACGAAATAAATCTTAAACATTTATTTCCTCGTAAAAATTCCAGAAAGGATTAAGCATGATTGAATTCGCAATAATAAATGAAAGCGCTATCTTTGTTGTTGCGCAGCTAAGTTTCTCTAGATTGGCAACAAATCCACTATCCTGCTGTTTCAAATGTAAGCAAGCAATGGCCGCCATCAAGAAAATTATTAGGCTTAGCTGCACTTAAACAACTTTAAAATTGTTGATAATTCTAAACATATTGCATAGAAATTTACTAAAGGCATAAAAACCTTAACCGGAACAGCAAAAAATGTACAATTTACAAACATATAAGAGTAAAGAAAATGAGATCACTGAGCCGGGTAACAGAGTGGATATATATAAATATATTTATATACGTTTAGTGCGGCCGATTGCAACCAAAATACGAGGTGCACATCTACATGTTATAGCAGTCCTATATACAAAATTTCAACGTTCTAAGGCTACTCGTATTTGAGTTATGCGAGATACGTACGTACATACGTTTGTGATGCCATGAAAAATTCTCTTCAGAATTCATTTTAAAGCAGTTTTATAATTTTTTTGGAGGAAAAGAGCATTTTATTCTTTTATTTTATTTATTATATTATATTTTATTTCTTCGTACAAGGAAGTAAAAAAAGAGGGGCAAATATGCGAGGAAAAACGATATAACTATAGGGTTTTCCTTAGTTTACTTAACCTATTATTCAGATTTTTGTTATCTTTCCTGAACTCCTCAACTGCTCCTCGCATTTCCTCGCCACGATGTAAAGTTATTTGAAGTAAGTAATTAAATGGGTGAATCTCGGATTTTGTTCAGAGGGTGTTTTCGCTAGCCAGCGCACGTTTCGTTTCTGACCTTGTTCGCTGACACGCCTTTTGGCCATTTGAATATTTATCTCGCCTGCTAGGTCTTCGAGTCAACTAGTTTAGCCTTAACTTAAAGTGCTAGTCCAGCACTACTCTTTTTAGACTCGGATTTATTGTGTTAGAATTTCTTAGTTTCCATGACAAGTTGTCGGTGTTATTGTAAAGCACGAAGTGCGTGCCTTTCATTTCATAGTTGAAAATAATAGTGTTATTTTATTCCACGCCTGTGCCAGAAGTCGCCAAGTTCATCACATCTAGATTAGTTTATGTGGCCAAAGAGAGTTAGATCCTATATAACAATGTAATTAATATATGAAACAATATGCACATAAAATCAATGATAGAAGGATAACAAGTGATAGTTCACAATAATAGAATACAAACAAGTATTGGCAAACATGTATTGGATAAACAATATCAGTTGCTATATTCTTTGACTTTCATTTTTAGAGTTAATAATTTACCAAAAGCGGCATCACTGTCAAGATTCAATAACGCTGTAAGTGTGTTTAACGTTTGTATGTTTATATCAGATCGGGTAAATCTCTCTTTTTCAATAATTTGCTTGAATAATAGAGATTATTTTGTTAAAGACTCCATTTATTGCTGCAACCATCCTACTTGCTGCTAATTAATTTAAGTTAAAAAAATAATTAAGAAATGAGAGGGAGAAGATTACAAAATAAAAAATATCTTCTACTTTTAAGCAGATTATTAAGTTCAAAGGAACTACCGCATAAATAAAAGAAGCTGAAATAAATTATCGATATAGATGAAATTAAAACTGCCGCTTCATATACTTAAACCAAAGTGAAAACCTCTTATGAAAGAAAAAATATTTTAAAGGATTTAAAAAGTTGTATGAATTAAAGGTAGAAATGCTTTGCATTAAATAATCTCGGAATTTTACTTTTTAAAGCTTTGTGTGGTTGAAAGGTTTGAGCAGAATTTTTTTTCGATGCAGTGAAACTGATAAAAATGTTTCATTTCATTTACATTCACCTATAAACAGAATGTACTTAAGTATATTTAAGGGGGAGATTCTGAACGGTTTCGAAATAACAGTTCCCCAAAAGGGTTTGTTAAGGTTTTTTACGCTCTCCCTCAGCTTATAGTCTACCAGTCTGCTGTAGCACTCACTCCTACTATTCCCCCTCCTTTTTTTGTCTTTTTAGATTTATTATTAAGAATTATTTTCTTCGCACTTACGCCATATACAACTCAACAGCAAAATTACAAACATTTTAAAAGCGGTTCACGTTTAGAATTCCCGATGCAGCGTTAAGTGCTGGCATACATTTTTTTTGT